ACTGACGCTTTTGTCAGCAAACACAAAAAATCAATTTCCTTCTGAATAATGGCGAGGATTTAGAGGGTAGGGAATTCGAGTAAGGCCGTTTGTAGATGCAATTTCCGTGATATCCTTATTGATAGGAAACTAATCATATCTAAAAATAGAAAGACGCCAAGAGGTTATCATCCAGGTGTACAGGGAGAGTTTACGGCAAATTGACGCTCTGCAAATTACAATAACTCTTAAAATTAGTATTTATAAGCATACGTCTTTCATATATTCTACAATATCTCAAAATGAAACAAAATGTTATTAATAACCCTAAAACAAATTAGAAAGAAACGCTTTTTAAACAGGTCTGAGAAAGTGCTTGGAAGAATCATATATAGAACTCTGAAGATAAAAAAAACTAAGTACATTGATATATAAATGTTGCTTAACAGTTTTCTACAAACTATATTATACAAAAACTGTTTGTGAAAAATATTTGTAGTTTGTGGGGAATAAACAAAACTGCTCTGTGTACTGACCCTCTTCTTTGTGATATCTCGACATCATACCTTAAAATAACTTCCTTATAACATTTGATATAGTTCTATCTCATTAATTAATGTCTTTCCTGTTACATACTCATATTAATTAAACGTTTATCAGATGATTGGTTTGAATGAGGGATTTTCAATTCCACCCAATAATTTATACAAAATTGTCGTTTTAAGGCAAAATAATTCCATCTAGTAATAATTATAAAACAATGGTAAGGGAATATTTAAGCCTTAATTTTGTAATATGAAATATAGAGTAAATGCAAGTTTATGAAATTAAAATTCAAGGAAAATATATTTAGGCCTTTAGGTGATAAACATTAAAATCAGTAATCAATAAATTAAATAAAAGAAAATTCGACTGCCTATGACTGCTGGTAATGTCTAAAATTAGATGAAAGATAGGTTAATATTCGGCTCGTTTTTTCACCGGTACAAAATAAGTTCCAAAGCAGGACAAATTTAAAAAATCGGTTAAAGGATTTGATTATTTATTTAAACCATTAAGAAATTCGTTTGTACAATTTGCAAAAGGAAATATACACTGATATGCATATAATCTTCAAGTCTCACGACCTATTTTTTGTTCCCTGCTTGAAAAGTGGGGGATATTAATTTGGGTTTGTCCGTCCGTCCGTCTGTTCGTCCGTCCGTCTTTCTGTCTGTCTGTAACGCTTTCGTTTCCACACGATATCTCGAGAACCCTTTGAGCTTTTGCAATGAAATTTAGCACAGCAACTCCCTATGGACTAAAGAAGAACCCTATTAATTTTGAGGTCAAAAGGTCAAAGTTCAAGGTGGTAAATTTATACATTCTCTCTGTGTGTAACACAATTATTTTCGGGCGATATTTCAAGAAGATTTTGAGCTGATGCAATGTAATTTTATACCAAAACTCCCTAGGACCTTTCTCACCCCATTCAAAGTGCCCCGCCCTGTTTGTTTTATTAGTATTTATAGTATTACATATCGCTATTTTTAGCACAGGGGCATGCGGAGAGTTATTGCGTATAAAACAGGTTCTAGGTGGACTTTATGTTCTTATTACATCTATTAGAACTGTTTAATAAAGGCTAAATAAATCAAACACCATGGATTGTGTAAAATTTTGACTATCGAACATGAACATATACATGTATGTGACTTCAATCCTGCATATACTTCCCAACATTTAAAGCGATTCCGTGGTCTAGAGGTATGACTCTCGCTTCACGTGTGAGAGGTCCCGAGATCGAATCTCGGAAGATGCCCTTTTTTTTTTAACTTTTCTTCTTTTTTTTTTAATTATAGTAATCAGAATGTGAAAAGAAAAAATAATGAGGTTATAAAATCATCATTACAGTGTGATAAATATTCCATATAAAAAGAATCTTCTATACACATAATAAAGAATAAGCAATCAAATCTTTATACGCATATTGACATACATGTATTTTATTTGCTTCAGTATACATGTATACATTTAATAATTCTACAAATTCAGTCAGGGGGATCCGAATTTTTTCCTAAGCGGGGGACACGAATTCTCTGAATTAGTTTGTTTTTTTTAAATTGACAATTAAAACAAGTAGAGCTTGGAGAGCCTTTAAGTCCAATTTTGATTCTGCATAAAAAATAAATAAAATTAATAAATAAATTTATTCGTACAATGAAACATATCGAAATAACGAACAGTATTCAAGATCAAAAGTCCATAAAACAATACAAAATAGAAGTAGAGCGAACACAAAATTCCAAAACATCAGAGGTGGGATCAGATGCCACAGAGGAGTGACAAGCATCCCCTGCTGACCGGTCACACCCGTCTTGTGCTCCTTGTCATGATCGCGAAAAAATGGATTTATCCGTTGACAACCCGGTGTTTAAATAATTGACTAACAATTAGTATGAAAAACGTTAGTCGTCATTTAACTCAATTATAAATTGTATTTGCTGACAAGGTTATTTGACCATAGAAATGATTACTAATACGAGACTGCTGATATTCTTGTTTCATCAACATTTTATCAATAACTTACCTCGTTTTAGAAAATGTACATACGTAGAGCATTCTCTTACGTATCGGATCAACTGAGAGATATACTGTATACTCCGTATGCAGGTGATGACGTTATATTGCTGCATAAGTTAGGGAAGTTGACGATTATAAAGTTAAAGTAATCACGTTTATCATACAGCTTTGTTACCATTAACGTATTTTTCGAGTAAGATATCCAAGTATGAACCAGATGTGTCAGACAGTGGTATTTTTTATATCAAGCTCATTTGTACAATTTTCAAAATTGTTTGAACATAAATCTTTTGTATCGTTTTTTTAACGTTTGTTGGACTCAAAAAATATGTAGTACAATTCACAAAAAAAACAATGGAAATATATTGAAATGCAAATTAAAATATGTTATTCTGCGACAGTGTTAAAATTCCATCCACAGAAATTCCACATAAAAAAATGAATATAAATGTTTATTTGATTTATAAATTTGATTTAACGATTCAGAAATTCTTTTAAATGTGTTTTTTCAACGTTTGTACAATTCGAAAACGTGTTTTGTGTTTACTAAACATTCGTAAAAACAGAAAGGGGCATAAGGGAGATAACGCACATTGATCGATTTCATAAAAAAAAGTCAAACAATTCAAATCCGGGAAAATAAAAAAAAAACGTGGACCTCCTTGTAACTCCAGATATTGGATCAGGTGCCAGGGAGAAGTGAGAACCCTCTGTTAAACGGTCACATTATCCATGAGCCCTATGTATTTCTTAAGTAGACAGATCATTCCGCAATCAAGATTAGTACAAAAACAAGGGTCTGATATGCATATGAAACAATTTAGTTAAAATGAGATCCATTTATATTTGCTTATATGGACATTATAACGACTAAGAATTTGAGAAATACTGACTAACGATGTTGTTAAAATGCTCTAAAATCAACTTATGTGCGAGTAGCCTGGTTCGGTTCAAGAATTGATCAAACTTAAAGCCTGCTCTTTAGTAGAGAATAAGTTGCCAAATGCAGGTAACAGTGGAATACTGCTACATAAAAAAGGGACTTGATAAAAAGCTTGTCATCTCGTTTATCAAACAATGTAATCGTTCGTCGGCCTTGTGGTCTATGGTCAACGAAAGATCGAAATGATATTAAGCATATATTTGACGGACTCTATGGTATATTTTATTTCAATTTTCCTGTATAAATCGAGCCGATCTAAAAATGGAAATAGCTATTTTTTAATTAATAAAACGTCGTTGATGTATCTGAATTTCAAATTGAAAATTCTCTGCAAGCGTTTTTTTTTTCTTCTTTCTTGTGGAAGATTTGAATAAAGACCTCTTCATAGGAATATAAAAACAAGTCGCCTAATAAAGGAGCATCTCAAAAGACTACTCAAATATTGTGAATAAGGAACTCCGGCATCTTTTTATATTAACTTCAGAGTATTTGTATGTGGAGTCAGAGTGATTGCTAACATTTGTTATTTTGTTTATGACCATTGACAAGTTGTCTGAGTTCTGTTCTTATTGAAACAATTAAGAAATTCGATTCTTAGTTGTTTTAATTTAATGTTTAAAATATTTATAAAATTGTCCGCACGAACTATCTCTATAAAGGAATTTCTAAATTGCGTAAACAAAATATGTATTATTTATTTGGTTTTCTGTAAAATTGAAATTAATTTTTATACAGCATCGTAAAAATATCGCATGTGAGCATATGTCTTAAAGAGAGAAAACATGTATTACATACATGTAAACTTGTACTAGTTCATTTTTATTATCATTTTCTGATTTAATTTTAATCTTTCAAAAATCTGTAAGTAAAAGACTTAGATATAAAATTCTAATGTAATATTACTTTTTTGAAGCGTATCTCATCATTTGACATATCTTTATTATTTTTCATTCGACAGTCTACGATTCTGGACGACTGCAGTTATCAATTTCTACTTTTTTTTACCACAGTATGCAAATGGTTTATGGTTTTTTCTGCTGTCCCTTGTTGGTCCCATTTTTTTTTATATAAAGAAACGAATTCTTGTAAATTTTCCAGCTTTTCATAGCTTTGTTAAAAATGGAGAGATTTTTTGTGAAACTTTTCACATGTTTCAAGTATTCGAATCCGATGCGCAAAGTGCATCTGTATAGTCCTAGCAGCACATTTCATAACAGACAAAGACAATCTAGGACTATAGGGAGTGGGGAGAGAGATTTCAGGAGGGATGGGGGAAGAAAGGGGGCGTGGTGGAGGGGAGATTTAGAGGAAAAGAGTAACATAAAAAGCAGACTAAAGGTAAATGAAAAGCACTGACACTCCCCCCTGAAAATAAAGTACCTGACCTGGCCATGAACTCTCAAATAGTATTATCAGTATGTATCATTCACTACATGTGTATTTGCATCGACATCAAATTTCACTGACTCAACAAGGAATTTCCAAACATATTGTAAACAGGTACGCCAAATAAACAAGTCACGAGAAAATAAGACTCATGTGATCATCGCTGTATATATATAAACATTCTGTATCCGGAAGAATTGATCGAGATCAGACGAAATTCCCCCCGAACAAGAAGAATGAAATCCATCTTTCTCACAGTTCTGACCGTTCCCTTGCTTTGTCATTTAACACAGGGATGTTGTACCCCCGAGCAATGGAGAGGAGACATGGGGTTCCTAGTCGGCACTAATAAAAACGGCAAAGGGGGATATGAGGCGGTAAGTCTATACAGCTGTACTGGATATTAACCTCTCTGTTTATGTAAGCATAGTATATTTTGCTACGATATATCATAGATATTTATTTAAATGGCATGCGTAAACACACTTGCAACAATTAATTAATAACAATGGCTAAAAATGATTAGAAATCTTTAAGAATACAGTGAGGTTGCCAATAACGAATCGCACCCGTTAACGAATCACTTTCAGATGAAGATTCTGTATTTTTCTTATCAAAGTCCAATACTTAGCTTAACCTACCCTGTCATGCTGAATTATTCTTGCTTTCATCATATATCATGAAATTATTAAATTCAACTCGTTTAATGTCCTAATTTTTAAATAAACATGAACAAGCTTTTTTGTGACGCTGACCAGAAGCGTATATGCAAGCAGACTACTTTCACTTTTCGGTACCGCTCCAATGTGAATCGTACAGTCTAGGTAAACAAATTTGGTGCAGATGTTTAATAAAATTATGTGTCTAAAAGCACTGAAAGCGTTATACAATTTCTAAATCAGAAATTAACAGTAGTCGCTTTAAAGTTGGGGGTACTTAGGTTTCCAATAACGAATCACTGTTTCAAGAAATATGAGATGCAGGGATACTGTCCAAATTATAATTTTTCGTATGCGTTTTTTTTGCACACCAGTTACAGTAAAAAAACAAAACAACAGAAGATGTCTACCAAAAGCGTACAAACAATAAAAGTGGTTAAAATACACATAAACAAAATCAGCAGTCAAAATCAGTAAGAAGTACAGAGCATGTGGATTCGAGAATGTCTCCCGGTGGTATACGTGCATGTAAGCTAATGTGAAGACATCGACGATAGCCAAATAAAAATCATCATGATTACCAAACAAAATTAAGATTTAGAAATTTTATTTATTTATCCCTTTGCAATTTAAACTTCCCTACTAAATCATTATTTCCAACGATACACCGTTTGCAGTTTTCCTATTCCCTAAAAAAAATATTTCAGATAATCAATTTTTATTTCTTGTCATGATCAAGATCAAGCTCGTATAATATAAAATGCATATTGCTAACAATACTTTTTCAATTCAACATCAAGCTAAATAAATTATAAACAGAGTATTATGATACCCCCCCCTTTTTTTTTCAACATATACTAGTTAGTAAACATATGATTTAAATTACATATTGAGAAAATGATATGCAGACTGCAGCCTTTTGCCTATATGGAATATATGCCACCACTGTCTTCACGTAAAAGGGAGAAAGAGCACTATGAAAGCAGCTAGAGGAGAATGAGCTGTCTTACTCATTTCTATAGAGACGATGTACAGTTGAAGTAGACCCATGCATATAAAGTGAAAGGACAACCTCCAGTATTTAATAAATCGGAATACTGGTATTTAGTCTACTGTGGATATTGGAATGGAGAAATCCAGCAAATGAATCCCAACATCATTATTTGTAAAGTTGTCTCTGCTCATTGGAGGAAATTTAGGTGTTGGGTCGACATTTTGAAAATATAATTGTTCCTTTCAGCTTTAGGTATCTCTGAAGCCAGGCTCGTAGGAAGCAATTTCAGTTGGTAAGTAGGGGGGGGGGGGTGCAGAGCCATACATTTTCAGTTGAGGAGGCACTATCAACCACCAAAATTCCTTGAAAATTAATTGATCAAGCATAAAAAGGTCATCTGACGTTGTTTTTTTTTTTTTTTGAGGGGGCACAATCATATATCTAGCGATATATTTTCTATCTAAATAGCGACAAAATTATGGGGAGGGGGTGTGGTAGCTCAATGAGTACAATTTTTGAATAAAAAATTAATTCTTCGACTGTTTGCAGTTCATCATGCACATATAAGTTTTTACGTCCTCTTATATCAACTAGTCATTTGTTTTCCCTATGATTTCATTGCTGTTGTTTTTACATTAATTGTCGGATGCAAACAACTCAAAAAATTCCTATCTTTTCTACTTTTTTGGGTGGTGGGTGGGGTTTGAAATATTTTAAGGCATAGTAAAACGTTACGTAATAAGGGACGGTCCCGAACCAGAATAATCAGCTTTATGTCACGTGATTCGGTAATGGAGAAAATGATCCGGTAAAGGAGAAAACATCGTTAACACAAGTACAGCGATAATTTTTTATTTAATCAGTGGATATTGGGGAAATATATATGATGTTATAAGTAAAACATAGTACCACCAAACAAGGTTGTAAAATGAATTTAACTCAAACTCAGGTACGAAATATCCAAGCAAATTTACTAAGTGATTCGATAACGGCAACCTCACTGTATCTTAAAGAACTGTCAATTTCAAATGCATGTTTTCATGTCACATGCATTCATTTATAAAGACATGTGTTATCATTCGAAAGTTTCTGTAAAGTGACAAACACTAAATGCTAAGACCTCAAATTTTCTTCATTATGCTTCAAAAAGTTTATCGCCTTATACTATGAAATGACCATATCTTAATTAATATTTCCTGATTTTTCGAAACGGATATAAACATAGGTAGGGTATATGGGGTTCAAAAGGTCGCAACATTTATCAAATATTCGCACAGTAGACTACCTTGTTGCAAGTGAAAACTTAGTAAAACAAATTTTATATTTCAGGGTATCTAGTTTTATTCCTACTCTTTCTGATTGTCACTGTAAAATATCATGGGAAGTTCTAGCAAAGTTTCAGGAGAGTTCAAATGTTACTAATACCAAAACCTTGCACCCTGCCCCTCAAAATTTTAAATGGAATGAAGATTCCCCTATTAAATTTCAATTGGCTCTAAGTTCAAATAAGATACAAGAAAAAATCAAGTCTTTTTTAGATTCCTTTATTACAGAAGCTACATCTACTGATGAAAAAGGCTGAAGAATTTAATGACATAATCATAACTGCTGCTAACATGTCATTAAATAGGACAAGTCATAAAAGAAAGAAAAAAAGCACAAAAATCAAAAGTAGTTTGATTCAGACTTGCAAACAATGCGCTGTAGACTGATTGCACATGGAAAAATTTATAATAATAATAAATTTATAATAAAGATAATTCTGCAGCAAACATAGATCCTGAAACATGGGTTAATCATTTTCGCAATCTTCACTCTGTGTGTGATAATTCTTTTAATTTTAGGATACAAGAGAAAGATTTAATTTTGGCTGACATGGAGAATAACCCATCCTTTAATGAATTGGATTATATGATTACAAATAAAGAAATTGTTGATGCAATAGCAAATTTAAAATATGGAAAAGCCAAGGGACTTGATTTGATATCTAATGAAATGTTAAAGCATAGTCAATCTTATTTACTTCCCTGTATACATAAACTTTATAATAACTGTTTCACATATGGTTTTTATCCTCAAGCTTGGAGTAATGGGTACATAAGTCCAATTTTTAAGTCTGATGATCCAAACAATCCTGCAAATTATAGGGGTATCACAATTACCAGCACTCTTAGCAAGTTATTCAACAGTGTTTTGAACTTTAGACTAGATAAATTTCTTCAAGAACATAATTTAATTCATCAATCTCAGATGGGGTTTACCAAAAATGCAAGAACATCTGATCATCTATTTGTTCTAAAATGTCTAATTGATAAATACTGTAGCACAAAAGAAGGAAGACTCTATGCATGTTTTGTTGACTTTCATAAAGCTTTTGACAGTGTTATACATACAAGATTAAAGCTAAAATTACTTAACATGAATGTTGGATCTAAATTTTATAATATCATTAGTAATATATATAAGAATAGTCAAGCATGTGTGAAAATTGGGAGATTCTTCTCAGATCCATTTCAAATACTGAAATAGCTATAGGCGTCCGTCAAAGGGATAATTTGAGCCCCTCCCTATTTAAAATATTTATCAATGACTTTCCATCATATTTAGATTCATGTATTGATGAAGTATCGCTTCAGACACAAACTGTTAATTGTTTAATGTATGCAGATGACATTGTTATTTTATCCTCATCAGCTAAAGGTATACAAGCAAGACTCGCTAAACTTGAAAAGTACTGCTCTGATTGGTGTTTAAAGGTAAACATTCAAAAAACAAAAGTCATTATATTTAATAAGGCTGGTCCATACTATGGGCAGCGGAAAGGGCAAAAATTACAATTATAAGAAAACAAACATTTATTTTAATTTCAATGACCATAAAAACTGAACAAATGATATACAATGCATAATCAACAGATCTTTTCGCATAACAAATATACATTAAAGCAAAACCAACGAACACGTACGTAACAAACATACATGAATGCAAAACCAACGACCATCTTTGCAATACAAACGTACATAAAAACACGACAAACGAAAAAAAAACTTAACCAACGTGCACGCGGTAAATCTAGTCTTGGCTCCCGACGGTCCCGTTTTTTTCTTTTTAAATTTCCTTTTTTTTTTGGCGATTTCTTTTTTGTCGGCGCACAGAAAGTCTTTACACTTCTCAGGCAAATTTTTAGGTTTAAAAAACTTCATTAATATATAAAAACTTTAACAAATTTGCGTATTTATTACTGAATCAGCAGTATCATCTGCCAAAAGCGGTAAATCTAGTACTCAGCTATGCGAAAACCACTGGAAAAAAGGACACCGATGTTTTCGTAGAATCGCGATTAAAGACAACAAACTGAGGTACAGTTTATATATATATATTTTTAATAAATGAAAACCCTCATTTACATGCTAGATAATTTGTATTCACAGAAATTCCCCCTACATTTTATTTTGTATAGAACTCTTTGCCACATTATGTTTATGTTCCCAGGCTATACAACATGGACGTGGTTCTACCTCGGATCCCCCTTTAATTTTTTTCCTTTTGAGGGGGGGGGGTGGTAATTCATCTTAAAATTTAAAATGAAAGAAAAGAATTTACATAAAATGTAAAAAAAAAAAAAAAAAAAAAAAAAAAACATTCTCCTGAAGGCCGTTTCGTCAATTTTTGTTGTTGTTGTTACAAAAGTTGGTTTTCCCCAATTCTTTAAATATTACAAGAATCTATTATGATAACTTTACATTACAGTGGCATATCATATAACAGGTACGTAGCAACAATTCCCGATTTTAAGAGTAAGGTCAAAAAAGGGTTATGTAGTACATGTATATTAGGAAAAAAATTGGTACTGAAAGAAGTTGAACCTAACACCCCCCCCCCCATACACACACACACACACACGAGATTTTCGAGTTTGGGCTATATCATTTTAATTTCCTTTTTGTTTTTGCTTGTAAAGTTTTTAAAATCTTTTTTTCAGCTAGATTGAAATTTTTTCTCCGGTTACCCCCTCCTTTCAAAAACGATGCTACGTCAATGTATAACAATGCAGTACTTTCATTTTGCATTATTTTACCATATAAGTACATTGTTAGATTTAGCTACATGTATTTTTATGAAGATTTTGATAAAAAATCTTTTTTGAAATCAAATCATTTTGATGCAATGAATTTTTATAGAATTTAATTGTTCATTTTTTTTTTAATTAACACCACTAATTTTCACTGAAATACTAATTCATAATTAATAAGAAATATCTTCTCAATATCAATACCTTTAATATCTTTAAAGATACATGGACACAGATTTGAAGTTAATTTTATTTCGTCTTAAAGTTATTGAAACAAGATTGCCACTTTTCCTAAGTATTAAGAATAAAATCAAAATTTGTGAGAGTGCAAGGATGTGTCAATCAAACCCGTCTTAAAATTTGAAGTTTTAATAACTTTAAGATGAAATAAGATTTTTAAAATATTTTTTGTGTGAAATGCTATTAAAATGTATAAGTCGTAATATTATACAGAAAATATTAACTTCAAATCTGTGTCCATGCACCTTTACTGTCTACGACACTTACGTCTCTCTGTTTCGATGTTCGTTTTTGGTTTTCATATTTATAACGGAGTACTACATTTACCGCTTTTTGGAAGGCGATACTGCTGATTCAGTAATAAATACGCAAATTTGTTTAAGTTTTTACATTTATTGAATTCATTTAAAAAGAAAATGTGCCTGAGAAGTTTGAAGAGTTTCTGTGCACCGACAAAAAAGAAATTAAAAAAAAAATCCGAGACCGTCGGGAGCCGGGAGTCGGGAAGACTAGATTTACCGCGTGCACGTTGGTTAAGTTTTTTTCATTTGTCGTGTTTTTCTGTACGTTTGTACTGCAAAGATGATCATTGTTTTGCATTCATATATGTTTGTTACGAACTTTTTTGTTGGTTATGCTTTAATGTATACTTGTTCTGCAAAATGGTCTGTTGATTATGCATTGTATATCATTTGTTAAGTTTTTATGGTCATTGAAATTAAAATAAATGTTTGTTTTCTCATTATGGTAATTTTTGTCCTTTTCGCTGCCCATACTGGTCGTAATATTACACAAAAACTAATGTTTCAAAATAATATGATAGAATGTGTGCCTAGCTACAAATATCTTGGAGTCCACCTAAGTGTATCTGGAAGCTTTCATGTAGCAAGATTAGAGCTTTATAAAAAAAAAAGCATTAAAAGCATATTATAAGTTAAGAAAGGATTTTATTGATTTGAACCCTAGGATTAAAACCAGTATACATGTATTTGACTCTACCATTAAACCAATTCTTTTGTATAATGCAGAGGTGTGGGGTGCAAGTAATATAAATACTAAAAAAATTCCTAAACTGCCAAAATTTAACAGTTGAAGACTGCTTTAAAAATCTACCCTGTGAAAGAATACACCTTAAATTCTGTAAATATATTCTCGGTGTTCATAAGAAAAGCACAAATTTTGCAGTACTGTCTGAATTGGGAAGGTTCCCCCTGCATTATGGTATTGTCAGGCTGTTGATTAAAAGTTGGTATAGATTTGAAAATTTGTCCACAGAATTTCCTTTACTTAAAGATGCATATGAATGTAGTAAAAAGCTTTTGTGAATGGAAAGAACTCATGGTTTGCATTTATACAGAAATTAAGAAAATTACTGAATATTAAAGATGAAGTTATTTGTTATGGGAAATATAAATTTAAGCCATTTTGACATAAAATTTTATTAGATTATTATGTGAAAAAATGGTATACAAGTCATAAAAGGTATACCGATGGCAAATTATCCATATATGTGAAACTCAAACAAAATTGGGGTTATGAGAATTATTTATCAGTTGTTAAAAATTTTCATCACAGAAAATCTTTATGTAAATTAAGAAATTCCTGTCACAGATTACAAATTGAAGTGGGAAGATTTACCAATATTCCTCGAGAAGATCGATTATGTAATAGACATGTAATTCTAACAACATAGAAGATGAAACTCATTTTTTAATAACATGTAAAAAATTTGATCATCAAAGAAAAGAAATGTTTCAGTTAATTAATCATAAATTTCCACTATTTTCAGCTTTAGATGATGAACAAAAACTTTATTGGTTACTCAATACAGAAGATAAGGAAACTTAATTTTGTGGGCAAATTTATAAATGATAACATGATATAGCAGCATTAGTCTTTTATACATACATGCATATTTGATGTATTCCTTTTAGACAGAATTATTGTTGAAATGATTTATGTCAATTACCAATTGTATAATTGTTTTGCTATTCATTGGCTTATCTTTTCCTTATTATTGTAACAATTTCATACTTGTCTGTTATGGGCTCTAAATTAGAAATAAAATGTTCTGTTCTGTTCTGTTCTGTACTTGGCGAGATACCCTAATCGTGTACTCTCTTTTTAAAATATATATATACTCTATCCCCTACCCATATAGACTACGAAGGCAGTGGTAGTTGATTTTTTTTTCTTAAGAAATAAGGGTTTCTTTATTACATAAATACGTGCACATGTTTGTCACGTGATGTACTCACAACTTTTAAGGGCTCTATGGATGACCAATCCGTCCTAGGTCTTTATGACATCGAATTTTACTTCTCGGATAAAACGTACTCTGTGTCGAACCTTTTCTTATACAAGATGTACAATATTGTTAAAATATTGCCAAATAGAAAAAAACACTCAGATCTATATATATCATGATAAAAAACATAAAAATGCGTTTTAATGTAGGGAAAAGTCAGGCTTTTCTATGATGCCAAGAACACGAAGATAGCCGCTTTTTCAGAGGGAGTTGTAGACGGCAAATTCTTCAGAGGTGCAATGATCCAAAACTTTGAACAAGTGAGTATTAAACACAATTTAAATAATTTCGATATCACATGTTACACATTTTGATATTCATGATAATGATAACAAATGTTGTCGTTACTTAAGGGAGTTCAATATGTTGTACTGAATGGTAACTGCAATACAACAAGATTGGCAGGAAAAGAATTTAAGCCCGCCTGCGTGCCTAGTAAGTTTGTTTCTAGTCTAAAGCATGGATATAGGCAAATATCATTTTTGATTAATTGATTATTTTTGTGCAGAGTATTGCAAATATATTTTGAAGAAACTTTTTGTGAACATCTACTGATGATGAAACTTTAATACCTTTGATTAAAGGTAAACTAAATTGTAAAAAAAAAAAAAAAAAAAAGGTTATTTGCACGATTTTTGGATGCAGCAGAACATTTTTAAGCGTTAGTCTAAATAATTTACAACTAACTTCAAAATATCTACAATGTAAAACTTATCAATGCTAAATTTACATATGTAATAAAATGCAAATTTTATTTGATATCAATTTAGTTCGAGGTTGTATAAAGCCTACTGTTGCAATCGTTTTGTTAGATTTTTATGTTCAGAAATACTATGTGAATTGGTCCATCACATTGTTTTTCATATCTTTTACCTTTACAGGGGAAAGCAAAAAATTGAGCGACACCCACCTGGGTACATCTACCGACTCTCTGGATGTCAGTGCGTATGAGATTACTCTAAAGAAGGTCAGAGGGAATGCTTACTTTACGGTTACTAACGAGTTATGTGTTCCTATCGGAGAGACTGTCACTGGGGGCACAGAGAAAGGTAGTAATAGAAATCCTACAGAAAACGGGTGACGTTTATATTATATGTATAAATAATATAGACTAAACATACACTATTATTGTTATAAGGAGGATTCATGGCCACCATCGGGTACACAGGAGTTGAGCCCGGGATAGATGATCCCAGAGTTTTTGACAAACCAAGGGAATGCAGAGATAAAATTGAAGAGGTAAATAAAAGTAAAACAAAATAGGTATTGTAACCACTTTGACCCTTTTTTTTCAGATCATTACTTGCATAGAGGATATTCAATGTTTTGTACTTCAATATCGATTTATTTAACCAGTGGGACATGATTTTTTTTTTTTACATTTTCACGAGTGCAAAGCACGCGTAAATATATTTTTTTAAAAATCCTTTCTCACTAGTGAAAAAAAATCGATATTCAACTACTAAAAATTGGATTTTTTGTTTTTATTACATTATCTTTGATTTTTCTTTGGTCTTGGTCTTTTTGAAATACATTCATAAGAAATATGATAGTTGTTAGTTGAGCGGCTGAGATATAGTTAAGTGGTGTGAAATTGAAAAGATTGTTAACATGGATTACAACAACATATTTGCATGGAGAAACTTTGTTTTATTCTCTTTCATAATGGTTTATGTACTCAAACTTATAACAGGAGTATTTTTACTACACTTTTTGGGAGGAAAATCTCGAATTTAACCGCACTTCTGATATTTGTCAGAGAGTGAAAGGATAACTGTTGATGTCATTTTCAATCAGATTTCACTATTAAAATGAAATAAAGAAAAGTACACTTCAGTGTTATGCAATATCAATTTCTTGATTCACCTAAGTAAAAGAGACGGCTAGATAAATTATTTCAGCTTGATTAATATTTCTCAGTAAATGTATATCTGTATGGTGTTATTTGTATCAGAAGATAAAAAGATATTTGAAGCACTTGATACTAGTAATTGAAATCGATTTGCTAGCATATTTGATTATTTTTAGACCAAATATATATTTGAGTCAACTTGAGGTTGCATTCTTAAACTATTGCAATGGACATTATTTTATCAATCAATGTAGCAATTTAATCTGTCAAGTAGTAAGTCAGTGGAAACCCTATTTAATAGTGTATCCCATTCATAACTGGACAACTATAGCACTTTGGAAAAAGTTTAATATAATAGGTATCATTCTCATTAGCCATGGAGTAAAATAAGCACTTCATATTTATATATATATATATATATATATATATATATATATATATATATATATATATATATAGATATACATACATGTAGTAGAAAAATAACAGAACGCCGATTGAAACTCTACCGGTTTCAATTATATCATCAGGAGTTTGACATATTGCTATAGATACAAACATTTCAAAGTATATTGTGACGTCATGTAACGTCAAAAGTGTTGCGCTTTAGTACAGTTCATTGTGACGTCATTATGTTACGTTATTACGTTAACAGTTAGACAAATAATGCGGGAAAATTGTAAATAGTCTATTATGACAGGGCGTTTAGCTTTGGTTTAAACAATGAAATAAAATGTTTTTCCTTGGTTTCACGTTCCTTTTCGGAAGTCTTATTATAGAACTTGTATATAGGAAACACTGTAAAATTAGGAAAAATGTTTTCAGCACATGTTCTAATATGTCCGCTCACGGCAGTACACTGGTATTCAGTTTGACGAATTTGTTGACGATGGACGGTCATGCGGTGTCTTAGGGTGTCCCCGGTTTGGCCAATATAATGCTCGCCGCATCCTGAACATGTCATGACATATATCAAATTTGAACTTTCGCAGGTAAAAGAAGAATGAATAACGAATTTTCTTCCGTTTTTAAAAATAAATTGTTCGGTTTCCTGTAAAAAGGGACAGGTTCCACATCTTGGATGATGACATTTTTTAACACCGGCTGTTTCCTCTGTATTGCTAAATTTGGCTCGTGTTAAAATCTTCTTTAAGGATGGACTCTGTCTTTTACTCTTGATCAACTGAAATTCACTGAATACGTCTTTCATCCTTGGATCATTCTCTAAAATTGGCATGTTGGTTTTGATGACTTGGAAAAATTCTTGATTTTTTGGATTGTGTGTAGATACGTAGGGAATGAGATTTTTTACGTGTTTTTCTTGTATCTGAAGTAGGCTGTTTCTGTCATGTAGTTTGGCGTTGTCTATTCCTTTTTCAATTAGTAAGGTTGGATAATGCCTTTGTTTTAATAATTCCCGTAACTCATCAAGTCTGACATTTAAAATATCCTTGTCCGATATTATGGTACAGAGTCGCCTAGCTAAATTATATGGAATGTTGTACTTCGTTTTTCAAAAACGTTTATTCTAGAAAGTTTAAAATTCATATTGGAAAATAACTTTATGAACTTCGATGGAACAACCTACAGACAAAAACTTGGAACAGCTATGGGAACCAAGGTTGCCCCGACATATGCCACACTTACGTTGGGATACCTTGAGAAAAATTATACAAAACCGTGGAAGAAAATTTTGGTGTTGAGTGCAAACATTTTATTCGAAACTCCTGGAAACGATATTTGGATGATTGCTTTATAATCTGGACCAAATCTACCGATGAATTACAAAGTTTCTATGATATTTTAAACAGCATGAACCCCAACTTAAAATTTACAATGGAGAGTGACGAAAACAAGTTACCATTTTTAGATGTTATGGTCATGAAAAAAGAAGGGAAAATCGTAACTGACGTATATTACAAGGCCACGGACACAAAACAATACCTTCTCTACGATTCCTGTCATCCAAAACACATCAAGAACAACATTCCATATAATTTAGCTAGGCGACTCTGTACCATAATATCGGACAAGGATATTTTAAATGTCAGACTTGATGAGTTACGGGAATTATTAAAACAAAGGCATTATCCAACCTTACTAATTGAAAAAGGAATAGACAACGCCAAACTACATGACAGAAACAGCCTACTTCAGATACAAGAAAAACCCGTAAAAAATCTCATTCCCTACGTATCTACACACAATCCAAAAAATCAAGAATTTTTCCAAGTCATCAAAACCAACATGCCAATTTTAGAGAATGATCCAAGGATGAAAGACGTATTCAGTGAATTTCAGTTGATCAAGAGTAAAAGACAGAGTCCATCCTTAAAGAAGATTTTAACACGAGCCAAATTTAGCAATACAGAGGAAACAGCCGGTGTTAAAAAATGTCATCATCCAAGATGTGGAACCTGTCCCTTTTTACAGGAAACCGAACAATTTATTTTTAAAAACGGAAGAAAATTCGTTATTCATTCTTCTTTTACCTGCGAAAGTTCAAATTTGATATATGTCATGACATGTTCAGGATGCGGCGAGCATTATATTGGCCAAACCGGGGACACCCTAAGACACCGCATGACCGTCCATCGTCAACAAATTCGTCAAACTGAATACCAGTGTACTGCCGTGAGCGGACATATTAGAACATGTGCTGAAAACATTTTTCCTAATTTTACAGTGTTTCCTATATACAAGTTCTATAATAAGACTTCCGAAAAGGAACGTGAAACCAAGGAAAAACATTTTATTTCATTGTTTAAACCAAAGCTAAAGGCCCTGTCATAATAGACTATTTACAATTTTCCCGCATTATTTGTCTAACTGTTAACGTAATAACGTAACATAATGACGTCACAATGAACTGTACTAAAGCGCAACACTTTTGACGTTACATGACGTCACAATATACTTTGAAATGTTTGTATCTATAGCAATATGTCAAACTCCTGATGATACAATTGAAACCGGTAGAGTTTTAATCGGCGTTCTGTTATTTTTCACTATTTAAATACTTGTGTGGATTTTTTATCAAACTTTTGGATATATATATATATATATATATATATATATATATATATATATATATATATATATATATATATATATATATATAAAAATCATGTTTATGAATTAAACAATACACTTATAACCAGGAAGTAAAGATCTGCTCTTGAAACACGTCTGCTCTTGAGGGACGTTACTTTCAATTCCAATTCTTTTCCCACAATTCTTCGATATCACTATACTATGATCAAAAAAAAGTAGGGGGGGGGGGGGGCAACTATCCCTTTACAATGAACATTTCCTATAGTAAAGGTAATGTTGGGTATATGTTGGATATATTATACAACTATTACTTCAAGAGAAATGCTTACTCATTTGTTGAACATAAAAAAAATGCCATAAAATGAGATTTAATATTATTTCAAAATAGCTGTGATTTAGTTCTTCATCAAAAAGTGGGGTGGCACAGATATACTCTTGCCCCCCCCCCCCCCCCCCCCCAGATCTGAAAGTGGAGGGGGGGCTAGTGCCCCCCCCCCGTGACTACGCCTATGTAATATTATAATACGTGTATTTAGTTCTCATTTAAAATAAAATAGATAATTGTTTTTCATTCAATTTATCCTGTTCTGGTCAATTTTTTGTGAAAATTTATTGTTAAATTATTGGTTGGATATCTTTTTATGTAAATAAGTCAAGTTAAGATTTGGGTTTGTGCATTATTTACTAATCTTCTTTTAATTTACAGACAATGTCTGGGTTGAATGTCATTTGAAATTATTACTATAGAGACAGTCATTGTTGACCATACATTTTAATTAACAAAGTGTAACGTATAAAACAGATTAAAGAAACAAGAAATTACCGGAAATTTCGGGAAAATTGATCAGTACGCCAACTTCTGTGTCACATTTATGATTTCATTATGGACATCAAATATTCACAAGTCGATTTCTTTTTTATTAGATTGGGTTTATTTCTTAAATCAAGGCATCATCAACTTAATACAGTTTGTTTTCTTCTCATTGCAGGGGGAGATCGATCTCTTTGAAAAGTTTGGAAGGTTAAACCACAAAATGTCCAGCCTGTTTAGATAAATAATGCAGTATATAGCTAACAGAAAATCCTACGAAACAACTTTCATCATACATCTTTTTGTCACTTCGAGTCTCTGAAACTTTTTTTTTTACCATTTTGCACGTATTTGTATTGAATTTCTTACATACTTACATGCTTTTTGAACAATATTCCAGACCTTATAACTGTGTACCTTTTTTTGCCTGAAAACAAAATTTTTTGATACAAATTATTGAATATTTACATTTTTTTGCATAATTCATAAACTACCTTATACTATAATTCATATTTACATCATTTTTACTTTGAATAAACTTTTTTGTCCTGTTGATTATTTTCTCTTGTTTCTCCTGAAAACTTCTTTGACATTTATATCCAAATGTGAAAATCAAATTAAGACAGACGAGACGTTCCTTAATAATAAATAAATTTATGTCTCTCACTATTTCCTAGATACAAACAGCTCACCGCAGCTTTGTTTTGCTCAGAATTCTATTTCAATTACGACAGGACAAATATCTGTGAGAATGAAAATGTCATTTATTCAATAGTAAATGACGAAAAATTAAGTTTTACAAACAAGGGGGGAAATCAGCAAAAAACAAAACAAACATTTTGCACGCACATATAAATATATACATTTTACAAGATATGAACACATACGTTCTGATTTCCCCCATAGAAAATAGGTCACAAAGAAAACTTTAGTTCTGATTAGATACAACATAAACTTTATAAAAAATTACATACGGCTTACAAAAAGCAAAAGATGGCGACAAATACGGCCGATCTGAAAAAAGTGTGACATCAAGAACGAAAACTTGTAAAACAGCAATTATAAATAAAAATGGTTTTTACATCATAGACAGACTTCGCTATACAAGTACACTGTATATATACTTCTAACATATGAAAAAATCCATGTCTAAGCAAAAATAATAAAAAATAAAATAGGTGGACATGAGAATGGGGAGGTGGTGGGCAATTAAAATCCAAAGGGCTAAAAACGTGTGTCCTCGAATCAATGTTTGGCAATAATAACAAAACCACGTGACTCTTTATTTAATTCTCATTGGATAATGCGCCATCTGCTTGGCTCATATTTCCTGGGGCTCAACACAGGGTTAAATCAACGGGGGTTCCAAAAGGGGGCAACTATTTTTACAGGAAAAGTATCGCCATAAATGCTATTATCTACATAATAGGTGTTTTATGTCTCTCACTATTTCCTAGATACAAACAGCTCACCGCAGCTTTGTTTTGCTCAGAATTCTATTTCAATTACGACAGGACAAATATCTGTGAGAATGAAAATGTCATTTATTCAATAGTAAATGACGAAAAATTAAGTTTTACAAACAAGGGGGGAAATCAGCAAAAAAAAAAACAAAAAACAAACATTTTGCACGCACTTAAATTATAAATATATACATTTTACAAGATATGAACACATACGTTCTGATTTCCCCCATAGAAAATAGGTCACAAAGAAAACTTTAGTTCTGATTAGATACAACATAAACTTTATAAAAAATTACATACGGCTTACAAAAAGCAAAAGATGGCGACAAATACGGCCAAAGATATGATCATCAGATCATATCCCACGCCATCCAAGGTGAGCTGCAATTCATTAACATAATAAACTTTGAGAATAGATAAAGCGAACGGAAATTTGAAAGATGTACTTAATTAATTGGTGAGCCAGCACATTATTGGGAGACCTTTAATTTTTTACAATAGGTTGTTTTAGCAGTTAAACACTGACCTTAAGGAACCAAATTTAAATTGACCATAATAATATTACACGGTAATGTGGTTATAGCAGTTAAACACTGACCAGTAGCATTCAATTTACTTTGACACTGAATACACCGTAGATTACAATGGCTACAGCAGTAAAACACTGACCTGAATATTTTCTTATCATATCATAAAAATCATGACCATTAGAATGATGAATACAGCAGTTAAACACTGCCCTGCGTGGAAAAAAAAAAAAAAAAAAAAATAAAAAAAAAATAAAAATAAAAAATAAAAAATAAACCGTGGTAGGGATTCATGCATGGTGCTATGTGACACATTTCTAGCAGCAGTAATACACTGTCCTGTACAAGCAAGTTGTGCATATCATTATTTCATACATGTACTAGCTAGTATATTGCTTTTTAGTAAGATAGCAGTAAAACACTGACCTATTATGAAGTATTAGATTGGGTAGTACATGTAACTACGGACAAGGATATCAAACAGAGAAAGCAGGGATTCGAATATAACGCTTCAAAGCATTAGAGTTCCAACGACCCAGTTGCTGTATATAATTCTCGGAGTACCCCTTTTTGAGCAGCATAAGTTGCAGCTCCAATTCGGAAACTATGACCTTTGTATAATGCTGGATTCAGACCTGTAAATTTTACTGAGGCTGCAAGTTGCTTGGAAACATAATTATATGAAAGTGGTGTGCCATCTTTAAACTGAAAAAGTGGGCCTGAGCGATGTGAATATTGAGACTGATAAACATAAAATGCATTGACAGGACATAATTCTGAATTGGCCGAACTCTCTAAGCAAATTATTATAGGCTCATTCATCTTTTGAGTTTTAAAGTGACGCAAAACTAACTGAACACTGCAGGGCTTTTGCCTTTTGAATTGAAATGTTATATCTTGCACCTGAATGACCTTGTTGTGGGCAGCACCCTGCTTCACAGTCACCTCACCCATCCTAAGGAATGCATGAAAACAGAGTAAGAAAAGGGCTCTTAACATGATATGATGGTCCAAAACAGGGACAGTAATTGGCAGAGCTTTAATAATTTGTTCTAAAATATCTAAAGTAATCGGAAGGCGTGAATCTGCAGTGTGAGACAATTTGTGACAACCTCTTAATATTTTTTTGACAATAAACATTTGTGTAGGGTCAGGTAAACCAAGTAGCTTGTGAACATAGCTTAGTGCTGATATATGAGAAGATATTGTACTTGCACTAAAATGGGAGCCATGGAGATGAGCAATGAAGTTGCAAATATCTGCCACCTGTAATGGTAATGATGTTTTAGCTTGAAATGATTGAAGGAGCTGCCATGATCTTCTGTATGCTGCTTGTGTGGAAGATGATAATGATGCCGAGAGTAGAGATTGTGCCTCACTGGTCAAATGTGCAGCAGACAGTCTGGTATGGGTGTTTGATCTTCCATCAGATGTGGTGCCAACTGCCGGGCAGCCTGAAATTGGAACCGGGATAACTTGTCTGCAATGACATTCAACTTGCCCTTGATATGTTTTGCTTTGAAATGTATGTTGTTATAAAGACAAGCAAGAACAAGTCTTCTTACAAGTCTCATAATAGTTTTATCTTTACTTGACTGTTTATTTATGACTTGAACAATAGCCATGTTATCTGTTAGAAAGAGTATTCGTTTGTTCCGCAGTTGACTGCCCCATATTTCTAAAGCCAGTACAATGGGGAATAATTCTTTGATAGCAATTTGAAAGGGATATAATTCATCTGACCATTGTTGAGCAAACCAATGTTCTCCTAGTACAGCCGCAAAACCAATAGACCCTGATGCATCTGTGTATAAACTGATAAATTCAGAAGAATCCCAATTTTTGGCAAGAAAAACTGATTTTCCATTGAAGTGCGATACGAACTGCAACCACATGTTTAAGTCAGCCCTTGTTTCTTTTGTGAGACGTACCCAGTAGTAAGGTTTTGAGATGCCACAAGTAAGGTCAATAAGTCTACGCAAGAAAGCCCTCCCCGGTACAACAACTGAACAAGCAAAATTTAACAAACCTATTAAGGACTGTAATTCTCGTAATTGTACTTTTTTCTTTTTAGAAAAGCCACTAAGTTTATCACGTATCTTTGCAACTTTCTCATGTGGTAATCTGCATTCCATGGAAATGGCATCAACCTCAATACCATATATGGTCAACCGAGTTGTAGGTGCCATGGTCTTTTCCATGTTAATGGGTATATTGATTTTCTTGCATAAGAAGAGGAAACGGGCTAGATCTTCACTACACTTTGAAGCACTAGATGCAAGAAAGAAGAAATCATCAAGAATATGAGATATTCCAGAAGCATGATATTTATTATACATTATCCATACCAAGGCCTGACTAAGTTCCTCAAATATTCTGCAAGAACTACTTGCTCCCATCGGGAGACAACGATCATAATAGAATTTCTTATTCCAAGTGAACCCAAGTAAATGATAATCTAGGGGATGTATGGGAACAATGCGGAAAGCATCCTTAATGTCAGACTTTGCCATCAATGCACCCTCACCAAAAATTTGTACCAATGAAATAATCCTATCTATTGTATCATACTGAACTTCCGAATTCTCCCTAGGAATAAATGAGTTCACAGAGTACCCCTCAGGAAAGGATAAATCGTGGATAATTCTGAATTTCCCTGGATCTGACTTTGGGACAAGACCAAGTGGTGATGAAATAAAATCTGGGAATGGTGGGCCATCAAATGGCCCCGCTATTCTTTGAGATTGTAGACCCTTTAAAATATGTTCATCAATGATTTTAGGATGCTCCTGTGTAGATTTATGATTTTGCAGGGATGAGTTTGAGGGGGAACCAACACAACCTAATCTAAACCCAGAAGTAAATCCTTCTACTAGATACTGAGATTTTCCCTTGTCATAGCCCTGTAATTCATTTTGAAGGGGTAGTGGTCTTACTGGGGTTGGGAGAGGTGTGGGATTGACTAGATTTTGTCCTATCTTTAACATAGCATTTTGTTCGGGGATGCTTGTATGAACATTCTTGACAAACATGGGCATATCTACATGTGGATGCATTACATTGCTCTCCTCTGTTGTATGCGAAACACACACGTTGGGTACGAAAAGGATTCTTTCTTCCCTGAAACTGATTGGTTTGTTTTTGTTGGAATTTAGACCCCATAGCTGCTGCTTTTAACCTAAGCTCATTAATGGGTTGTTCCCAGGGAAGATGAGAGGACTCCCTCAATTTTCGAAAGGTTTCGTCATAGCTTCTCCAAGCTTCATCCACATGCATTCTGCTCATCTCTCTAATAGTATGGCAATACTTAAAAAGGTGGCATGCATCATTAGGATTCTTTTGTAAGTAAATGCATGCAAAGGTGAAAAATGCATCCGTCCATTGGTTAATGGTTAGGGGAGATTTTTGTTTTTGAGTGTGTTCCACATCAATTTTGCCAGCTTTAATTGTTATGGAAAGAGGGTCTTCAGGTTGGTTAGGGAGCAATGTTTTAAAATCAATAAATTCATTCGACCAAATTTTACTCTTAATTTTTGATGATATGGTTGCCCCTAATGGTATACTATCTTGTATTGTAATGGGGGTAATAGTGCGTGCTGACTCACCTCGCATAAAAATAGCATCTAAAATTGTGTTAACATTGTCCGAGTTTTCAGGTGTTGATCTGGAAGCGTCGGCGAGTTGAGCATTAGAAGTAGGTATGCTGGCCTGGACCGCACCTGAGGAACCACTTTCTTTAGCTGCGTTGGTTGGAGTCTGAGATTCTTCCGGATTTTGCGTGGCAGTTTGATTGACATTATTTGTTGTGGTGGCGTTCACTGTGTCTTGAGTGACAGCCGAGACTGTGGACTGGGATGCTCTCACTTTGTCCTGTTCCCTCACGATATGCTTTGCTAGTTCCTCATAGTTTATTGCCGAGGACAAGGCATTTAAGGTCATCGGTGGGTCCGCGTCCCTTTCCTGAGCCTCCGACGGAGTACTTCTTACTGTTACGGGTATTTTCTTTTTAGATCTTGTGGCCTCCGTTGTCGCCTTGCGCTTTACACCTGGATTGCCTCTTGGCATCTTTGCTAAAACAGAAGAACACTTGTTATAGTTTACTTGTATAGATAAATACATTTACTGAAGAGTCATTTAGGTTGTGCAGTTCTTAAATAAAATGTAGGTTTAGTGAACCAAAGTAATATGAATCTATGTTATTCAACCAGCTATATATCAGAAACTGCAACTGACCCTTGAAGAAAGACTTTCAAGTAAAACTATCACCATGTTTATTGAAATGATAGATTATAACTAACCTATAACTGAAATACCATATATATATGCCCATATACATATAATTTTAGCCACACTGAAGGACTGGAATTGTACCACAAATAATAACTTTAAATAACATAATAATCTGAAACTTTTAAGTTAAATTAGTATTTGAATATAATACTGACCAATTATTAAATGAAACAAACTGCTGAAATATTATACTGAATATTTCCAAAGAAAACTGTTGGAACATTATACTGAATGTTCCTGAAACATTATACTGAATGTTTCAAAAGAAAAACTGTTGGAACATTATACTGAATGTTCCTGAAACATTATACTGAATGTTTCAAAAGAAAACTGTTGGAACATTATACTGAATGTTCCTGAAACATTATACTGAATGTTTCAAAAGAAAAACTGTTGGAACATTATACTGAATGTTCCTGAAACATTATACTGAATGTTTCAAAGGAAAAATTGTTGGAACATTATACTGAATGTTCCTGAAACATTATACTGAATGTTTCAAAAGAAAAACTGTTGGAACATTATACTGAATGTTCCTGAAACATTATACTGAATGTTTCAAAAGAAAAACTGATGGAACATTATACTGAATGTTCCTGAAACATTATACTGAATGTTTCAAAAGAAAAACTGATGGAACATTATACTGAATGCTCCTGAAACATTATCCAGATTGTTTTCAAATAAACAACTTTTGAAGAATTAAACTGAATGCTTCTAAAGGAAAAACTGTCGAAACATTATATACTTAATATTCCCAAAGAAAACCTGGTAAAACAATAAACAGAATGTATTTTGAAGCAAACTTTTGAAACATTATACTCAATGTTCTATCAATATATAAGATTCCCATGTAAAATGTTGAAACATTATACTAAATGTTTCCCAAGAACAATCTGCTAAAACATCTGAACTGAAATTTTACTACAAGTAGCAACCAACATGTCATACTGGTATTATAATCTATAATAAAACAGAAATAGTTATGTCTATCACAGCAACTGAAACAACTGTTCTCTACGTTTATGACATGTACATTGAATTTAACCATGAAATTGCGTCAAACGATAGGAAAATAATGAGATAACAAACAGGATGTCTACGAGGAACACTTTGTTTTACTAAATGATGCCCAGTATACTAAATATCATCACTGAATGCTTATATCAAACATAAGAAAGATTGCCAAACATTAAACTTTTGTACCCTTTTTTTCTGAATTAGAATAAATATTGAATGAGACTATCTACAGTCAACCATCATTAATGACTTAAAAATGTATGATCAAATATCCAGACAATGGTACTTAATTCAGTACTGAATCATTAGCTATACTGGCCTAATTTCCTTTGAAGTGATGATGATGGCATTGCGTATACTGCGCAGAAACTTCCTCATTGGCTGATCATTGGACGGTGTGCACTGCAGATGCGGTGCGTCGATTTACCCAAAAGGACCCAAAAGGACCCAAAAGAACCCAAAAGGACCCAAAAGGAACCCAAAAGGACCCAAAAGGAAATTGATAGCAACCCAAAAGGACTTAAAATTAAGATAATAAATGGATATATAATAAACATTTTTATATTTTATTGAATCTAAAACTATTTTTTTGAGTTTAAAATTTGGGGTGAAGGTGGGAGGTCCCCCACCGAACCCCTACCCACCCACCCATCCCCGGTATCACCCCCGATACCATATGCCTAGAACATGTCATAAAATAAAACTTTTTTCATTTATTAAATATCGTATAGTAAGATATGGTAAAACAGAAGGAGTAGTAGATTAATACTTTGTTAATTTCAGCTAAAAGAAATCAAAGCATGCCTGACCATATGTAGTGTTTGATGTGCTATAAAAGTTGTATGTTATTGTTACAGTTGCAACGATATATTATGTTTTTGCCAACTTTTATGTAAATGTATAATATGGTATATTCGTAATTTACTTCAAATTATTGATTTTCAATGTATTATGATATATTAATAAAAGTCCTTTTGGGTCCTTTTGGGTTCCTTTTTGGTTCCTTTTGGGTCCTTTTGGGTCCTTTTGGGTTCCTTTTGGGTCCTTTTGGGTCCTTTTGGGTAAATCGACGCACCCCTGCAGATGTACTCCATCTGGTCCCAGATATGAGAGGCTATTCCAGAACCCCCGGTGAGGCCAGTAGACAATTCCTTTCAACCCAGTTGTCATCTCCCGTAGCGCCCGATTTACCTCGTACACCGTGTCATTGAAATTGATACATGCTGCATAGGGAAGGCGACGCAGTAATTGGCCGATAATTACTTTTTGAATACCAACCCCTTCATGTAAATAATTTGCAAGCGAAAAAATGTCTTGTGCAATTTTTGAGGCCTTACTTTCAGCAACAATGTCATTTTCACCAATCTGTAGAAAACAAATATCCGGGACATTTACAAAATGCACAATGTTAGCATCGCTTCGAAGATGCCGTAAACACAGACCCCCTTTTCCTCGAATTGACACAAAGAACTTATCAGTGTCCAATCGTAGATTAGGAATGTTCTGTTGAGCTGCATAAACTTTCAAACGCCGTACATAAGAATGGCCAACTATTGCCACAGAAATTGTTTGATCCGCCGCCATGACCGACTATCCCTGGAATCCCGCACATAAACAATCTCTTTTTCCAATGATGCAACCAATGAGTAGTCCGTAATATCATACACAATCGATAATGTTCGTAACAGAAACAAAACTTACAATTTCAGAGTCCAATAATGGATACAAATGCAAAATCAATTAAAATCCAAAGGGCTAAAAACGTGTGTCCTCGAATCAATGTTTGGCAATAATAACAAAACCACGTGACTCTTTATTTAATTCTCATTGGATAATGCGCCATCTGCTTGGCTCATATTTCCTGGGGCTCAACACAGGGTTAAATCAACGGGGGTTCCAAAAGGGGGCAACTATTTTTACAGGAAAAGTATCGCCATAAATGCTATTATCTACATAATAGGTGTTTTTTCTAAGAGTTTGTCATTGAAGTATTGCTACTTAAACATGTTTCCTCACAAAAAATTGAGGTACCTTACCAGGCATTTCTGCAAGATACGAGGGGTAGTTTTTCTTATATAATCCTTTGGGGAAGAAAAATAATTTTCCAATTTCAAATGTTTAAGTGTTTGGATTTTTTAAAAACGTTTAGAAACTGGTTTAGAAAGCAGAATGTTATTAAAATTTTGAATATTTTCCATACGTTATGAAGATATACAAAACAGATTTTGAGGAACGTCTCATCTGACCTTAAGTACAGGATAAAAGGATTAAAGATATGTATGCTGTGTGAAACAGTTTTTTTTCACAGCTGAAACCAAATAAAAATTTCTGAAGTATGATAAGCTATCAAAAATGAAGCATTCTTGCAAATGTGACGAAATATTATTCGGTATTAACAAAGTACCGGTCGGGAAAAGAACACGATATTCTCATGACGTCGCGCACGGCGTCGGTGTAAAAAAGTTAATAATTAAGTATTACGGCGGCATATGCGCTATTTCCATAATTTTAAAACAATTCACTATATGAAAACTATATGTCATTCGGTCGGTTATTGTATACTAAATACATTTTAACAAAAATATTGATAAAAAAATTCCAATTATCAAATATATTAATGGGATTTAACCACTAAAGGTTTAATCTATTTGTCAAAGTGAAATAAATAATTGCGGTCTGGTCTGGTCGAAAATGCATCGGGTTCATTGGGCAATTTGTACGGTATTTATCAGTTCCTTTTATAGTTTGGGGATATTAGTAGCACCTAGCAAGAGAACTCTGACGTCACGGCATTTATTCGTCATCAGTCTGTGCCCAAACTTTTAGAGGTAAGGATGTTTAGAAAATACAAGAAGATTATTTGTAATTTTATGTCGGCTATTTCTTAGTATATTTACATGCATTGACTTACTAATACTTGGTAAAAGGCGATTTTATTATTTGTTCTTCTCGATGGGTGAATAAGCTGTCAATTTCTGTCAGATTGTATGATTCGAAATTATCTCGGTCAACTGCACAGTAGAGCTGGGTATCGCGGCTGAAAAATCGTATCGCGATATATTGCAATATTATATTTTGTATTGCAATATATATATCACAATATAAAATTTTTAATAAATTTTGCTTTTCATCAATGTTAAAAGAAAACAAAAACTCAAATTCCATGTATTCTCGAGTTGATATTACAACTGCCTGATCGCGTTGTGTGTATGCAAGTGGCAAGCTAAGTTTTTGTGGCACAACTTTAAGAATCAAAATGTAATATTCAGATTCTGCTTTAACATGAAGGGCTTTCATGTAACAGTTGTCGTCTTTTCGTTTCTGATAGACATGTCTCTGGTTTCCAATCAAACTTCACGTTGCTTGCCGCCATATTTTACCTTGAAAGGGGCAAATAACTCTTTTTGTAACAATTTATAGGATATCGAACCCGAACCGGTATTCACAAAATAATACCGCGATACGTATTGTGAAGAACGAAATCGGGATACACCGGTTAACCGGTAATATCGCACAGCACTACTGCACAGGCCAGGCAGCATGCAGCACGTGGTTTTTCGTAAAAAAAAAAAACAATAATGTAGTAGGCCTATAAAAGGCAAGTACGAAAAGGGAGAGGATGGTGTAAAAATATTTAAAACATTGTTATGACATCATCTTTTGTTCTTTTAATACCTTCTTATCCTTGAAATAACAAAAACAATCCAATAAGTTACCTGTAACTGTCCAATAAGTTGGAAAAACTGTCCACTATTAAAAATAGTGGACACTTTTTTACAACTTATTGGACAGTTACAGGTAAGCACTAAGAAAAAATAACAACAAATCCAACACAAAAGATATACATGTTATTCATGAACAACGAATTACACACATTGTAATAATTATTCCAACTTTAGAATTTAATTAAATTTGAAAAATACACTTCCAGACGAAATTTCAATTTCACTAGCACCAGCTGGTGCACACACATTAGAATCACTTTCGGCTGCGGTTTTGGCTTTCTTGATAGCTACATCACACTGATTTTTACCGTGAATGATTTTGCTCACTCTTTGCTGTTGTTCTTCATTTGTTCTTTTATACGATCTAACAGATGTCGAGCGGTGTCCAGTTTTCTCGGTTATTAACTGCTCATCAATGGCAGCATCGTAAAGGCGTGTTGCGGCGGTTGCTCTGAGGCTATGGTTTGTGTAGTGGCCAGTAAATCCTGATATTTTACACAGTTTTGCGACGGTCTGTTGAAGAGTGTGTACTCCAACAGGGGAGTCGGCGTACCAAGTGGAATCTGTGGGGTACCGCAGAGGTCGCAAATAGAGAGCATTGGTTTTACCAGCTTCAGGCGTTTAAAAGAAAATTGCATATTATAGATTAAAGTGTTTTAAATTAAGATATATGTTACAGCAATATTTTGGTGGAAATTAACAACAATATACTTGCCTTAAATGCAGATATTTTTCATACGTGAGCACAGGACATCTCTCGGGAACATTCTTGTTCTGGTATGCTCTGGTAACTTTAGGTTGCAGATTTTTGTGCTGGAGCCCACCGCGATTTGTTTTGGAGACATCCTCTCTAT